TGGGAGAAAAAATTAATATAAGACACTGTCTTATTTTCGGGGAAACAGGGTACCACTGGCCAAAACAGAGATCCCAATGACCCAAGTAGGCCTGTCATGCCACCAAATCCTGATCATCCAAAGGGGCCAGTAAGAATGCAGAAGTCAAGAGCTAGAGGCAGGATGGAGAGAAACTAAGATTCTTTTTCTTTCTTTCTTTTTTAAATATATTTTATTGATTTTTTTTTTTTTTTTTTTTTTTACAGAGAGGAAGGGAGAGGGATAGAGAGCTAGAAACATCAACCAGCTGCCTCCTGCACATCCCAGGGATGTGCCTGCAATCAATGTACATGCCCTTGACCGGAATCGAACCTGGAACCTTTCAGTCTGTAGACCGACGCTCTACAACTGAACCAAACTGGTTTCGGCAAGAAACTAAGATTCTGTTGGAGTTTTTATCCCCAACAAACCATCACTGTAACCCATTTACCAACAAAAATCCTCCCCCTCACAAATAAGTAAAATGGGAGTCCTACCTCATTTCATATTTAAAAATTAATTCAAAATAGATCAATGGCCTTAATATAAGAGTTAAACTATTGCAAGGTATGAACAAACTTTCCTCTACCCTCAAGGTTCTTCTGGTTGATTTAATAATTAAGTAGACATGTGACATATTAGCAGTAGAAAATAACCAAATTTAATATATACATTTGTATGGGAACTCCACATACATGAGTGAGTCAGAGATTCCACACGCAGGAGTGTTTCAGAGACAGAAGGGGAATACGAGGGATAGGTGAAGTAAGGTGCCTTGGGGATTTGAAAAGGAGCAGATCATTAGCAAACAGAAGTTTGCCCTGCCCTGTAGATAGGTCAAAATAAGTTCTTTTTTATTATTTAAAGAAAATTTAAAATGTTATTAATTTTAGAGTGTAAGAGGAAAGGAGATTTGTTATTCCTCTTATTGATGCATTCATTGGCTGATTCTTTTTTTTAAAAAAATATATTTTATTGATTTTCCACAGAGAAGAAGGAAGAGGGATAGAGAGCTAGAAACATTGATGAGAGAGAAACATCGACCAGCTGCCTCCTGCACAACCCCTGCCGGGGATGTGCCCGCAACCAATGTACATGCCCTTGACTGGAATCGAACCTGGGACCCTTCAGTCTGCAGACCGACACTCTATCCACTGAGCCAAACCGGTTTCGGCTGGCTGATTCTTTTATGTGCCCTGACTGGGGATTGAACCTACAACCTTGGTTTATCAGGACAACACTCTAACCAACTGAGCTATCCAGCCAGGGCTAAGAAGTTATCTCTTATAATCTCTTATGAACAAGGCCTCTAATTCAAGTTCTTCCAAGTTTTTAGGGTTAGGGGCAAAAGTTTCTCTTGAGCCTGTGGCTAAAGTTACCTGTAGCTCAAAACAATCTGCATACCATAGAGGCACATCTTGGGGTGATTCATTTTGGACCCAAACACTATGATACTGTTAGAAGAAAACATAAGAATAAATGACCTTGGATTTGGCAATGGATTCTTAGATATGACACCAAAAGCACAGGAAATAAAGAGAGAAACTGGTCTTTATATGGCATATATATAATGGAGTATCATTATTCAGCCACGAAAGAATGGAGTACAGATACATGCTAAAATGTGGATAAAGCTTGAAAATATTATACTAAATGGAAGAAAAAAAATCATATACACTGAGTGGCCAGATTATTATGATCTCTGAACGCATAATAATCTGGCCACTCAGTATAATATCCTACCCAATAAAAGAGAAACATGCAAATTGACAGCACCTTCACTACACCCACAAGCCCCCTCCCAACCAATCAGGGCGAGTACGCAAATTAACCAAATCAATATGGCTGTTAATTTGCATATCCAGGCCAAAGTGAAGACTTGAAGACAAGCACTGCAGAAGGGAGTGAAGCTGCAGAGAAGCAAACAAGCAAGGCGGCAGAGAAGGAAGGCAAACAGGTGGGGCAGGGAGAAGGAAGGGAAGCAGGCGGGGCAGTGACCCACAGCAGCTGGAAGCCCTATTGCAGGAATCTTCATTCGTGCATGGGTGAGGTATGGCCAGCCTGCCTGCTGGTTGAACTTCTGGTCAAGGGGACAATTTGCATATTAGCCTTTTATTATATAGGATATACACTGAGTGGCCAGATTATTATTATGCGTTCAGAGATCATAATAATCTGGCCACTCATTGTATTATATGATGGAATTTGTAATGAATATAATTGGTGTTAGAAAACAAAATCCAACCAAGTGAATTTAAAAATCTAATTGGCTTTAATTGATTCATGAATTAAGAAGCATCCCATTTAGCAACCAGAAGGGTGCTCTGAGGGGTTATAAAATGGTAGGATTTTATAGAGAAGAGGCTGAGGCAAGAGAGCTATTAACAAAAGAAAATAAAGGACATATTTTCTTTGAGGGAAGAATAAAATAAGGTTTTTTTCATATTGATTACTTCTTCTCTCTTTGGGCAATGGAGAGGACGCATGTGACAGATTGCCTTACTGGTACTTACCAGACAATTCCATATTGGTCCATTAAGATTATGTTTCTGGGAGAAGTTGAAAATGCAGTTAGATCAGGTATTAAATCTAGGTTTGGTATCATGGGCTTTTAGCATGAGTGACCCCATTTTGGGCCTGTGGTTTTTTTTTTTAATTTTCTTTTAAAAACTATTTTTATTGGTTTCAGACAGGAAGGGAGAGAGAAACATCAATGATGAGAGAAAATCATTGATTACTGCCTCCTACATGCCCTTTACTGGGGAATAAGCCAGCAACCCTGGCATATGCCCTTGATGGAAATTGAACCCAGGCCCCTACAGTCCATTGGCTGACGCTCTATCCACTGAGCCAAACTGACTAAGGCTGTGGTTTTTTTCTTTGCATAGATAAATCCACAGACACAGAGAGCAAATTGGTGGTTACCAGGGACTTGGGAAAGGGGAAATGAGAGTGACTGCTTAATGAGTGTGGGATTTTCTTTTGGATGATGAAAACATTTTGGGACTAGATAGAGGTGATAGTTGTACAACATTGGTGATGTACTAAATACCTCTGCATTGTACACATTAAAATGGTTAATTTTATACATGAATTTCACCTTAATTCTGAAAAAAGTAAAATGGGGAAGGAACTTGAGAGCTGCCTTAAAAATTTGAAAGGCTATCATTCAAAGATAGGGATTTTTAGGGTGTTTTTTCTGGGTTCCAGAGAGCAAAATCAGGGGAAGTTACAGGACAACTATGACTTAACAAGGAAGAACTTACTGTGGAAGAACCAAAAAAAGGTCTGTTAAACAGTGGAACTCGTTGCCTCCCAAGGAAGTAACATTGCTCTTTACTGAAAGTGGATGATGAGCTTTCAGGGAAGTTATAGAGAGGATTCTTACATGAGAATCGATTAAAGCTTTTTTTGTTGTTGTTGTTTAATTACTTCCAAGATGAATTTGTTATGTTACCTCCACCCTGGCAATAAAGCTGAATCAGTGTGACAACATGCGATCTGCAAGCACACTCCTAGAGTCCAAATAGTCCTTCCTGGGAGTTTAAGTTCTTCCAGGGCAGCCCAACCCTCTCAATCTGCAAAGGAAGAAAATGTGACACAGAAAGAGGAAACGGTCAGTTACAGTAAACTTTCGAAGGAGTTGAGACACTATCTCTCAGGACGCCCTGTTCAGCGTATCAGCCCTTGCAACTTCCTCCTGGTAGCTGGAGAAACTGGACATTCACTTCCTAAAAAGTATGTATTAAGCGCTTACCAGACACTTTGCTAAGACATCTTCCATGAAAATGGTAGTAAGGGTTCAATACTCAGTAAGGAGTAGCGAAGTAAGCAAATCGGATTTGCAAACTATGGAAGACTCCCAAACGTCTGTCTACCGCTTGTAACATACCCTGCTACTAAAACTTCACGAGGTAGAAACAGATGACAAAGACATCTCTGGGTGTCTCACCAGCCAAATTCAAGATGCTCAGTAAGAGGTGCAACAAAAAAGAAAGTAGCCTAGATAATTCTTAAGATTAAATGATATGATTCATCAATTCATTTTTATTGCGTGTTTAACAAAGAAGTTGGAAGTCATCCCTTGATCCAGCTACCAGAGCTGGGACTGGAGCAAGGGGAGAAAGCGAGGCGGGAGGAGCTCCCCGGGACAGACGAGCCTCCCCCTCCTCCCTTTGGACTCAGTGGGACGCAGCCAGGTCAGGAGGATCGCGGGGATGCCGCATTCCACGGCCGAGTCCAGCCCCGCCCGGGACCTCCTGGGGGAAGCCCAGGCCAGCCGCCCCCCAGCCCACCCTACATTGAAGATATTCACACAGCCTCGGAGGATTGCGCAAAAGCCTCCACCTCCCCCGCCTGCTGGGTGGCATGCTCCTAAAATTCCCATCTACACAACATAAACAGGAAACGTGCAGCAAAAGCCCTGGCGGTGCAAATTCCACGCTTCCAGCTGAGGGCGGGAGAATCTCATCTTGGGAGTTGGGGGTGGGGGTTCGAAGGGAAGCAGCCAAACTCCCCCTTCACCATCCCTGGTCTCTTCTTACCAAATCCAGAAAGAATAGGCAAGGCGGAAGAAAGGAAGGACACCCTGCTTTTAGGAAAAACAGGGGAGGGGGAGGTGGGGATGAGCCACTACTAAAAGAGCCATCCGGTTCCCAAAAAGCGAACCACCTCGCGCTGCGGCGGCGGCCGCACGTGGCGGGCATACCTGGGGCTGACCGCGGTCCCCGCCCGCGGGCGCCGGCCGCCCCTGGAGGGTGGGGGTGGGCTCCCCGGGGCCGGCGGGCGGGGGCGGGGGAGAGGCGGCGCGGGCGCGGCGCAGGCGCAGAGCGCGCCCCGGTTGTCAAACATGGCCGAAGTGTCGCCGCTGCCGCCGCTGCTGCTGCAGGGAAAATGCTGAGCCCTCCCGGGCCCGGTGGGCGGCGGCGGCGAGGGCGGCGACGGGCACCCGCTTCTCGGGCGTGGCGGCGGCGGTGGCGGCCATGGCGCGGCTGGCCGATTACTTCATCGTCGTGGGCTACGACCACGAGAAGCCAGGTAAGGCTGCGGGTGGGCGTCGCCCCCGCCTCCCTCCCGGCGGCTGGCCAGTGGGCAGCGCGGGGCCGGGCGTCGGTCGCGGCGGGGAGGCGGGAAGGGCCCGGCGGGCCGCCGCGTCGGAGCTGAGGGGGGAGATCGGCGTCCGGCCTTCCGGGCCCCGCGGAGCCTCGCGGTGGGCGTGTGCGGCCGGCACGAGGGCGGGGGAGGGGAGGAGGCCGCGCGCGTCCCTCCGGCCGTCCTGGCTCCGCGGGGCGGGCTGGGGGCGAGGCCCACGCCTGGATGCTCGGGAGGGAAGGAGGGAGGGGGCCCGAGGACCAAGGGCAGCAGCGTCCAGGGGCGGGCGGGATTGGGCCCAGACCGCAGGGCTGGGAGGGCGGGAGCCAACTGTGCCGAGTTCCTCCGGGCCCCACGGCTGCCCTGCATCCTGAGGGAGTGACGCGTGACGCGGGGGGCTGTCCTCTCCGAAAGGAAGTGCCCGGAGTCCCGTGCTCCCTCGCCCCTTCTTGCTCCCGGGGGCCGGGCGAGCCGCTGGCCCAGGGAAGGAACGCGTGGTCCTCCTGGGGGAAGGGAAAAGAGGATCCTTGCACGCTCCAACATTTCTAGGAATCGCGCCCGGTTACTTCAAGACAAGTGTGACCTGGTCACTTGAGAATGATTCTGGAGGCTATCTTTGAAGTAGATCGCGTGGAGGTGATCTTGTTGCACGCGCAGGAGTCTTTTTTTCCCCTCGTCTCAAAGCGTTACTCCTAAGGAGCAATCTGGCGAACGCATTGCGCGTTAACTTCATTGATGAAGTTTCTGCTTCGGATTCAGGGCAGCACGCGCCTTTATTTTGTATCTGTATCCCTTCGTGCTGCTGTGTAGCTAAAGCATCCTGGAATCACTTGGCCTGGGGGAACACATCTATTTCTGGGTAAATCTGGTTGCACATTTGCAAGGAATTTTATTTAGATTTCAACTAGACAGTCGCTTTATTTTTTGGAGGAAGTGTTGAGACTGCGTTTTGCTGATGGTTACAAGTCATTTGTAGCGTCAAAATACCATTGTTCTACCCACTCTTAGTCCAGTGTTCCTTTCCCTGTTCCTCTCCTAATAACCTTCTTTAATGGGAACCCTTTATATTCTTTAATCTTTCACCAACTCATGACTTGATGATTGAGGTCAACTGTTAAAAAAAGGGGGTTCGACTATGTTTAAAGTGTCTTCTGGATCCAAAATTGTATGTATTATTTCCTTGTAATTTTGCATAGTCTGGTGTCTCTTTCTCAGGAAGATCAACAATATGAAGAATCACAGATGATTTTTCACATAATTTCATTTTTAGCGACATTGTTCTTATCTCACTTAAAAAAAAAAATGAAACTATCACAAACTTGCAGAAAACTTGCAAGTATGGTGCAAAGAATTTATCCCCTGAAGCTGCTGACCTTGTTGATGTCCTGTCACCTCAGAATGCTTATGCGTGTTCCTACAAACAAGTACATTCTTCTACAAAGTCACAGTACACTCATCAAAACCGGGAAATGGACACCAATATGTTCCTCCACACAGTTCTCGAAGTGGTTTAAGTTTTGTTTGCTGATTGTGCCATTTCTGGTAGAAGGGTCTACTTTATGTGTGGCATTTATTTGTTACCCGTGTTTCCCCCAAAATAAGACATCCTCTGAAAGTAAGACCTAGCGCATGGAAAGATAAGACATCCCCTGAAAATAAGACCTAGCACAACTTTGGGAGAAAAAATTAACATAAGACACTGTCTTATTTTCGGGGAAACGGTATGTTTCCTTAATCTTCTTTAATCTGGCATAACACCTTTATCTTTGATTTTCATAATCTTGAAACTTATGCAGTTTACAGGGCAGTTATTTTGTAGTTATCTGTAGAACACTGTTCTGTTACGATTAGACACATCCAGGTTATGTACTTGGGCAGGAATATCATAGACAGGATGCACATCGCATCCTATAAAGCAATGCCTGAGAGGGTTCTCCACTATAAAGTTAATATGTAAAGAGTTTTTGTGAGGATTACTTGGAAACTATGTAAATGTCTTGTACCACATCCAACTTTTAAGGCATTTCATGATATCTCCATGGCTTGTTTTTTTTTTTTTTTTTTGCGTCTTTTTAGTGGGTTATATTCTGTTACTATTTATTTGAATGTTCAAATTGTTTCCCATCTAGCCAGTGAGAGCCTATTCAAGCTGGCTACTGTGTTGTTACGGCATGTCCCATCATTCTTTGAGAGTATCTTTACTTTTTGGCAAACGAATATGTTCTGGGCTTTTCTTGTATTGACCTTGCCTTAGTTCTGGAATCAGCTATTTATTTCTCTAGGAAACCCTGGATCATTTTAGGAGAGAATGACATTTAGAAGCCAGAGTGTTTTTTGCTGTTGAGTTGTTACCCTGTCCCAGTAGACGGAGCTGGGAAATATATGTATTTATACACACTCACATGCACATTCACACCTACATTTTTTTGCTTATATATTGAAAGCAATGAGTTCACATCAATACCTCCAATTTCAGTTCAACATTCCAGGATCCATTCAATTTCATATTTGTAACATTCTTCTCTGTCAGTGAAAAACCCAGCTTCTGTTATCTTTAATATATTTATTTGTTTAATATTCCTGTATATTTAACTTGTTTCCAGTTTTGTGCTCTTATAATACTACTGTATTAAACTACTCTCATGCTGAGAATATTATATTCCATGCTGAGAGTATAGCTTGAAAACCACTGATTTTTATGACAGTTTAATTTTATTTTTTTTAATCCTCACCTGAGGATATGCTTAGAGAGAGGAGGGGAAAGAGAGAGATTGAGAGAGAGAGAGAGAAAGAAAGAAACATTGATGTGAGAAACATCGATTGATATGTGCTCTGACTGGGAATCAAACTGTCAACTTTTTGTTACACAGGATGACAATTTTGATAATTTGACTTCATTTTCCTGATTTTGTATTTGTACAGTGGCACAATAATTAGGAAATATCATTTGTTTCTGATAGGTTATGTTATTTATCCTGCTATCTTTTTCTTTTTTTCCCCTCCTTTCTTCTACTGAGATTTGTCCAAGAAAAATTGATAATGACTATGTGGGTTAAGTCTTTGATAAGACTTTCCTTTTTCCTTTTTTGTTTACTTTTGCAGCCCATTAATATATTTAGAATTTCATCCATTTATCTAGATGGTATTTAACTTAGTCAAATATCATAATCAACTATATTTTCATATCAATCTGCTTATGTATAGTAGAGAAAGCATTTGAAATATTTCTTAGACATTTCATTAGTTTTATTTAAACTAAGTGAGGTAAACTAAAAGGTAAATTTATGTACAGTACCTGAAATATCATAGTTTGAGACATTTTTAAAATTAATTGGTTATTATTAAACTATTAGTTGCCCAGTGCATGAAACTCATACACTGGTGGGACGGAGTTCCCTTCAACCCAGCCTGCAACCTCTCCAATTGGGGACCCCTTGTTGCCCTTAAAACCCCTTCTCAGCCCCCACCTTAGGTTCTTCCTTCACAGTTCACCCAGATTAGGTTCTGATTGGTTGGTTTCTATGCCAGTCAGTGTCAAAAGCTCCACCTCCTAGGTAGCCTTTGGCTCCTCGAAGTTCACCCAGATTTGGTTCTGATTGGTCAGTTTCTATGCCAGCCAGTGTCCCTGGACCTGATCAGAGAGGCAAGAGCTGGCTCAACAGCTGCCATGGAGGCTGCAGAACAGACCCTGCTTCTCTCTCTGGGCCTGATCCGTGGCCCCCTCTGCAATCAGTGCTGGGTCGCCACACGGGGACCTAGCATTGACTGCAGGACTGACTTCTGGTGTTTGGTTGTCCACTCGGTCGTTCTGGGTGTTATGGATCCTGGCTCAGTGCATGAAATTCGTGCACAGTGGGGAGGGAATGGTGGTGTCCCTCAGCCCAGCTTGCACCCTCTCCAATCTGGGACCCCTCGAGGGATGTCTGTTTGCCTGTTTAGGCCCGATCCCACCAGATTGGGCCTAAATGGGCAGTTGGACATCCTTCTCACAATCCAGGACTACTGGCTTCCAACTGCTTACTTGCCTGCTTTCCTGATTGCCCCTAACCACTTCTGCCTGCCAGCCTGATCACCCCCTAACCATTCCCATGCCAGCCTGATCATCCCCTAACCATTCCCATGCCAGCCTGATCACCCCCTAACCATTCCCATGCCAGCCTAACTGCTCCCCTGCCAACCTGTTTGCCCCAACTTTCCTCCTCTGGTCACCCCCAACTGCCCTCCCTTGCAGGCCTGGTGCCTCCCAACTGTCCTCCCTTGCTTGCCTGATCACCCACAATTGCCTTGCCTTGCCAGCCTGGTCCCTCCCAACTGCCCTCCCCTGCTGGCCATCTTGTGGTGGCTATCTTGAGTCCACATTGGGGCAGGATCTTTGACTACATAGAGGCAGCCATTTTGTGTGTTGGAGTGATGGTCAATCTGCATATTATTCTTTTTATTAGGTAGGATAGAGGCCTGGTGCATAGGTAGGGGCCAGCTGGTTTGCCCTGAAGGGTGTCCTGGATCAGGGTGGAAGTTCCCTTGGGGCATGGAGCAGCCTGGGGAAAGGGCCTGTGGTGGTTTTCAGGGCAGCCATGCCCCCCTAGCGACCCAAGCAGAGGCCCTGGTATCTGGAATTTATTTACCTTCCAAAATTGAAACTTTGTAGTCTAGAGTGGAGCCAAGCTTTCTGCTTGCTCCATGGCTGCCACCATTTCTGTGTGGATTTGTTTACCTTCTGTAATTTGAAACTTTATAACCTTGAGTGGAGGCTTAGGCCCGCAAGGGCAGGTGGAAAGCTTGGCTTCTTCCATTGCTTGGGAAACCCAAATCTCCCTCCTGCTCTCTGTGGCTGCAGCCATTTTGGTTAGGGTTAATTTGCATACTTGCTCTGATTGCCTAGTGGTCGTGGCTTGTGGGTGTAGCAGGAGGTATGGGCAATTTGCATATTACTCTTTTATTAGATA